TCCTCTGTCCGGCTGGCCGCACCCAGGCCATGCTGGATATCTGCGAACGCCACAGCATCGACAACCGGTACCGCTTCTCGCCTCCCAAGTGCGAGGTGCTGTACTCGGCCTGCAACGTCGACCAGCTCCATCCCGCCAAGCTGTACGGCACCGAGCTGCCCAAGGTCCTCCAGTTCCGCTACCTCGGTGTCATGGTCGACATTGACGGATTCCGCCCGGACCTCCAGTTCGACAAGCTCCTCCGCAAGGTCCACATGGTCACCGACACCGTGGTTGGACTCGGCATCACCCTCGGCAAGGTCTCGGCCAAGACCATCACCCAGGTCTACAAGACCTTTGTGCGGCCGACCCTCGAATACGGGATGGCCATGGACATCCCCGACCCAGCTCTGCGCGACCGCCTCGACGACGCCCAGATGACGGCCCTCCGCACCATGTTCCGCGTCGGCCCCGGCACTCCCGTCGGTGCCATGCACCTCAACTGCGGCCTTCCCAAGATGTCGGTCCGTGTCAAGATGCTGGCCCTGCAGAACTGGGCCCGCTGGGACGACCAAGTCTCTGACGGCGACAAGATGCTGTCGATGATCCTGCGCAACAAGATCATTGCGCCCTACCACCCCGACCAGTTCCTCGGCCAAGGAGTCCGAGCCGATCCGCACTGGGCCATGGTGGTCCGCCGACAAGAGGCCGACCACTCCCTCACGGCCACGGAGATCTACCGAGGCAAGACCCGACACCAGCCGCCGCCGCCCGGACCGCCCCGACCCCAGCCCGTCCCGATCAAGACCCTCATCTTCGAGGACCACATGAAGAACGGCTTCGACCGCTCCAAGCAGCTCACCGCCGCCTGCACCCCGTCGACCAAGATGTCGGGACTCTGGGAGGCTCGCGGGTACCAAGGATCCATGATCATGCTCATGTTCATGGTCCGATGGCGACTCGGTGCTCTCCCAGGCCACTTCAGATTTGGCTACCGCAAGTGCAAGAACCTGGCTCGACACGGATCCGGGATCGACTTGACCAGGACCCACGCACAGCAGTGTGTGGATCCGCATCAAGTCCTGGTCCGCAAGGTCGCAGCCCTCAAGACGGCCCACCCGACTTGGGTGGAAAGTGGTATAGCCGGAGTGGGACCAGTGGACAAGCTGCTGGACCTGCTCAGTTTCGATCGCACTCCCCCTCGCAGTCGCACCCCTCCCGCACTTGGATCACTTGCTGCTCATGTACCCGCTCCCCGCACTGCCTTCCGAGCATTCGCACTTGGTGCACACCCAGCACCACCACCCACTCCCACACCCAGTGTAGTCCCACCCTTGCAGTCTCTCCCTGCACCCTCATCACAGCGTAGTATAGTGTCAGCACTTGTCATTCCTCCACCCCGACCCCCCCTCGATCCTGCTGTTCCCTTGTGGGAACTGCTCGAAAATGTGTTCACCCGCTTGGTCTCAGACCTTGTGGGCAGCTGAGGCAGCACTAGGCTGCAACAGGAGTAAATAGGCTTGCCTGTGTACTCAACGTGCCGGGGTACCAACCTGTTGGACCTGATGGCTTGTCTTCTTGAATAAAGTTGACTATAGTAACAAAAAAAAAAAAAACATAAATAGGCCTGCCTCCGTCCCCGTCAAAGCATTTCTCCATCCTCACTACCTCCAAACCCAACCCACACTCACTACTCTACCCTTCCATTCATTCGTGACAATCCCAACTGTTGGCTTTACGGTGAACTCTCATTGATCTCAATATGCAGTTTCTATTGCCTTTCTTCGTCTTCCTTGAGCCCTTTGCTCCCCAATAGGCTCTGTTCACGCTTCTTCATTGCATGTGCTTATGTATGGATTCACTGACACTGCCACCCACAATACTGACTGAACCTCATGGTTCATTTTCGACACATCCAGCTATGCAAGATTGCCCTCTGGATCATCCGTCCCCTGATATAGGTGATTTTTCGGATTCTACCTCTGTCGATACCGTCCTTGAAGATGCTGACAGTGAAGCAACCATCCAGCAAGGGCCAAGCTCCGTTGTTCGTGTTCCCGTTCCTTCAACTGGGAACTCTTTCTGTCCCATGCCCTCCGTCTTCAGGGATGTGGCCCAGAAATTCCTTCAGAGGCTCGGGACAAAGGAACCCGTTTTTGTTGCACTGTTCCCCTCCCCGATGACCGATTTCGATTGGTCTCAACTCCAGGTTGTCGAAGGGCTCCCTAGTTTCTGTCGATTGTTCGTTTCGAGAAAGCGATGCCCATTCCTCAAGCGTCGCACGAATCAGGCTCAGCACACAAGCCCCAATTGTTTCCTCTCCGTTTCGTATGGGATGATCAAGCTTGACTGTACCGACCCCTCCTGTCATGCACTTGCCGAACAAAGTGCCTCGTCCTTTCGTTGGGCCCCTCGCTCCGCATACTACCTTCCCAAGTATTGGTGTGCCCTTGCCGAGTCACTCAAGGAACAGTTTGGACTTTGTGCCGAGATTGACGACCAACGCAAGGGGGAATTGACTCTGCAAAGCCGTTCCCTCCGACACCAAATCCCTGGTCCAATCGGAGGCAACGAAGCGGTCCCTTCGATCCTGCAGGATATTCCAAACGTCCAATGGAGCAGCATGAAGGCCTGTTTGAGCGACGAGAAAAACGTCAAACTCTCTCGTGCCCTACGATCGGTTCCTTTCATGATCAAGCCCATCGATCTATTGTCGATGGAGTTCTTGGCTTCGGGAAAGCTCATTGTTCGCAGCAAGGGATGCACGATTTGCGAAGATCCGGGTCTTGACGACATCGTCTCCACCCATACATTGGTGTACTTGAAAACCAAATCGACGTACACCGTTCAATCGGATCACTGTCCAGTCACCTCCGGGACCCTGAACTCCGAATCAGCCAGCTCACTGGCCTTGTGGCATCGCAAGCTGTCCGAGTCGACTGTCGATCTGGACCACCAAATGGAAGCCATGAAGCTTGATGTCCAGCATATTCTCAACAATGTCTACAGCGGCTCGGAGATCCTCGAGTTTCGACCCCAATCGGATCACATGGGTTTTAGCGTTGTCCTGCAGAGTGACTGCGTTTTCTGTCAAAGCTCCAGTGTTGCTTTGCATGGATCTATCACCGCGGATGGATTCCGATTCAAATGCTCTCACTGCAACTGCGAAGATCCGAGTGGCATGCGGCGTTATCCAATCGACCGCTTCCTCAAGATCCAACCATCGAGAAGCTTCAGCCAGTTCATTGGACAAGTGAACTTCCAATATGTTCATAACCAATATTCTGGCGTTCCTGAAAACGACAAGGTCAAAAGCACGGCCCACCTCGCAGACCCCACTCCGTACCTTTCGGATATCGGCCCTGATGCCGCGCGGCTCTTCAAAGAGTACCTGACCAACTCAACGGGCGACGCAGAGCTGCTGGATTTTATTGTCTTTGTGTTCGGCGAAACTTGGATCCACGATCGCGAGCGCCCTGGCAATTGGTACCACTTCAACGGGGTCGTCTGGGAATGGTCCACTGGGAACAGTGAACTCAACAACACCATTCTCGACTACCTCAAACAAGTGTTCAAGAGGGCCCTGGATTGGTACTCCAACCAAGAAGGACGTGACCTCCCCCACGCCACTGCCACCGTCAGCCACCTCGAACGCATGAAGCAGAAAATGGTGGACTCTGGCTTTGTCGGGCACCTGGTCAACGGTGGTTGTTCCAATAGTCTCTCGGTCAAGTATAACGAGTTCATGAGCAAGTGCAACAAGGACCCGTACATCCACGTCACCAGGGACGGGACTCTGGATTTGACCACAATGACCTTCCGTCCAAGCCGTCCCAATGTGATGACCAGCATCACAACGGACCAATGAGATTGTCCCGCATGCTCTCGCCCTCCGCACCAATCATGAGTCCCCACGTGTTTGTTTGCCCCCATGCATGAGCACGCGCCGTTGCCACCCGCGTCTACTGGTTTCCTGCCTCCCCCACCGCTCGGCACATGTCCCCGGGCTGTGCCAAGCCTCTCTCGCTTGCACACCAGCCACTCTCGCACCCCCTTCTCGCTTCTCTGTGATGCTCCACCCTTCTCGCCCACTTTTGCCCCTCGACCTTCTCCCGGTCTATAAATAGCCCTGCATGTCTGAGCCTATGTTGAACACCAGTTCGAACAAAACTTGTTCTTTGGTGTTCGGGGCTAAAAGCTAATAAAGCTCATACCAAGCACTTGGTCTTCGTCCTTGCGCTTGTTCACTCCTTACACTTTGTTCGAACTCTCTTCTACTGATACCACCTGCTTGGTATCTTCCGCTCCTAGCCCCGCCCCTTTCCTAGTCCTGTCCGAACCTCAAGCACACTTGTGTCTGAGCCCTCTTCGCTCTCCTGTTCTTGAACCTCCTCGCTTTTTTTTTTTTTCCCAGTCCCAGTCCCAGTCCCGCCATGGATCCTGCCCTCGTGGACCGCCTCCGTGCCTTGGAGGCCGAGCTCGCCGAGCTCCGGACAGCTCGCGATGCTCCTGCCGCTGGGTACAGCGTGCAGATGCCGGACCGTTACGACGGTAACCGGCAAGGGTTCCGGGCATTCGTAAATCAGTGCAAACTGTATATACGAATGCAGCCCCACCGGTTCCCTGCTGACCCGATTAAGGTCGGATTCGTCATTAGTCTGCTCACTGGACCGGCTCTCCAGTGGGCGACTCCGATGCTTGAGATGGGTGATCCCCGACTGTCAAGACTGGACAACGGGGCAAGCAGGGAAGTGCGCAAGAGTCCTAATGCAAGACTCGAACGTAGGGAGAGGAGCGGGGACTGGACTGGGACACAGAGTGTCAAGTGTGAAGCCAAAGTTTTATTCTAGATCCAAGGCTTAGGATACTAAAAATACAAAGTTCATTTCAAGGACAAGGCAAGATAACTAGGCAAGATACAAGGCAAGGAAACTCGGTTCATGACACTATCTCCCCCTTATAGGTCAGCCATAATGGCTCGATAGGACTGGAACATGAACGGCACCCCAGCTCGGGCTTTTCCGAAATTCAGTGTCAGCATCGGTTTCGAACCGGCAACCTCCAGACTGGTATGCAGACACCTTAAACGAACTCGGCGAACTGGGGCACTGGCAGGGGACTCGGAACGGCGGATGAAACCCTTGGACAAGTTCTCTTGGATGTAGGTGTGGAGGGCGTCCATCTCCGGCTTGGAGAGGTTGTAGACGGGCCCAAACGACGGGGACGCACCTTCGACCAACGGGATCGTGTGGTCGTAAGGGCGGTGCTGGGGGAGCTTGTCGGCCTCGGACTTGGAAAACACCTTGGCAAAGGACGAGTACTTGGAGGGGACAGAGGGCTCGGCCTTGGGCTTGGCTCCAGCGTCGACGGAGCAGAGGGACAGGACTCGGGCAGCATCCAAGAGGAACACTTCCAGGCCTTCCTTCTGGACGGCGTGCTGGAAGGGGATGCTGCCGATCAGGCTGACGCTGGGCAGGGACTGGGTCTTGGTCTTGGTCTTTGGGACGGCAGGAGGCAAGGCAGGACTGGGCTTGGGCACGGCAGGAGGCAAGGCAGGACTGGGCTTGGGCACGGCAGGAGGCAAGGCAGGGAGGATCTCGGGCTCGGCTGGGGACTCGGCTGGGGACTTGGCAGGAACGATCTTGGACTCGGGCAGGGACACGGCAGGCTCGGCGGGGACCTCAGCAGGGGACTCGGCAGGCGGCTCGGCAGGGCTGGACCTAGAGGACTGTGGCTCGGGAGAGAACGGGGAGGCCAAACTGTGGATAGAGGTGCAAGGCAAGAAAATAGAGTCATGGTGCCAGTCAAAGTAGGGCTTGTGTTTCTTGATCCAATCCATACCCAAGATGATCGGGTATGAAGCCAAGGGAATCAGCGCGAACGAGATTTGTTCATAGTGGCTGATGCCTGTGATCATAGAAACACAAACTCCAAGACTAGACTCCATCGAAGAACCATCGGCAAGAGTGATGACGAAAGAAGTTGCAAAGGTGGGGAGAGCGTGGGTTGCGGCGAATCCAGTGTCCATAAACGAAGTAACCGCGCCGGTATCGATCATGGCGGTTGCCCGTATGGACTCTGGACCGCACAGCAGAGTCACAGCGAGGGAGGGCTGACGTTGGATGTCAGGCTCGGGAGGCGAAGACGAAGAAGCAAGAGCAGTGGAAACGGTGGCAATGGTGACGGGGGCAAGATGGCAAAAGGCAGAAGAGTGATTTACCGTGGAGACATTTACAGGAGGAAGATTTATGACATGATTGACGCCTAGGAAAGCTCCTCCGACCTTTTCTAGGCAGAGAAGTTTTCCTGGTCGTCAAGTTTATTCACATCAACGACAGCCAAAGAAGCATCGATGGCAGCCAAGCGGGAGGATGCCTTATTGGGGCAGCGAAGGGCAATGTGCCCTTCCTGCTTGCAATAAAAGCAGCGGTTGGCAGCACGGAGGGCGGCCTTGTCCTCGGCGGTCAGCCTGCGAGCGGAGGCCTGGCTGAGGTCCATGGGCTGCGGAACGTTGAAGGCTTGAGCGGGGCGAGGAGGAGGAGCAGGAGCGAAGGGGCGAGGAGCCGGACGGAAAGGGAGAGGAGCCGGACGAGCAGGAGCAGGAGCAGGAGCGGAGCGGTGGTTGGGACGGCGGGAACGTTGGTCCTCCTGGCGGTTGTCGATGGCGATCGCCGCTTGCATGAGATCTTCGAGGTTGTCGAAGGAGCGGCGGGAGAGTTCGTCTTGAACCGAGGGCTTGAGTCCACTCTCGAAGTGGAACATGAGAGGGTCTTGGGACCAAGTGAGGAGGTGGACGGCTTGGCGGCGGTACTCGGCGGCATAGGCGGCGGCGGAGGTGACTTGGTAAAGCCTGACCATCTCGCGAGCAGCGGCGATGGTGGGCTGGACCTGGCCAAAGGCAGCACGGAGCCACTCGGAGAAACCGGCAAAGTCACGGATGGCAGGGGGAGAGCACTCGGGGTCTCTCTCCAACTGATCGATGTACGGCTGCATGTAGTCTGCAGCAGTACCATCGAGATAGGATAAGGCGTAGAACACCTTATCCCTTTCAGTCTGGAAGAGGGGAGGGTTGGACACGAAGGCCAGTCTGCAATGCGAGAGGAAGGCATTGCAGCGGCTCGGGTCCTTACCAGAGAAGCGATCAGGGGGACCTATCTGCCTGGTGGCAGAGTTGCGACCAGCAGGGTTGTCCTCGGGGTCTTGGGCAGGATCATCGACGTCGTCAGGAACGCCGAAGTAGGGGCGACCTGCACGACGGATCGGGGCGGGAGCGGGAGCAGGAGGAGGTAGCTGGGCCTGGTAGCTGCGGAGGGCCTCCTGGACACTGGCGGCGACCACTTGGCGGACATCCTCTTCACGGCGAGCCAGGACCTGGTCCATACGATCGGTGATGCGGTTGAGCGCATCATCCTGATCGTGGAGGAACTTGGAAAAGTCCTGGAGAGAACGGGCGTTCTCGGCGGACTGGATAATGACCGCACGGATGGCCTGGAGCTCGGGCTCGGAAAGGCCAGAAGGGGAAGCCATTGGTAAAAGAGATAGAGAAGGGGACGGGGCAAAGGCAGGGCAAGTGGGGGGTTGTTGAAGGTCTTGCCAAGTGTCAAGACTGGACAACGGGGCAAGCAGGGAAGTGCGCAAGAGTCCTAATGCAAGACTCGAACGTAGGGAGAGGAGCGGGGACTGGACTGGGACACAGAGTGTCAAGTGTGAAGCCAAAGTTTTATTCTAGATCCAAGGCTTAGGATACTAAAAATACAAAGTTCATTTCAAGGACAAGGCAAGATAACTAGGCAAGATACAAGGCAAGGAAACTCGGTTCATGACACCGACTCAACTCTTTTGGCGATTTCCTAGAACGCTTTTCCAAAGTGTTTGACGACCCTGATCGGGCCAGGACTGCCGAGTCAGTGATCACCACACTGTCTCAGGGCAACCGCCCGTGCGCAGTCTATGCATCCGAGTTCCTTCGTATTGCCGCCGATACGACTTGGAACGACGGTGCAAAGATCTCGTTCTTCCGACTTGGCTTGTCGGATGATGTCAGAGACGAACTTTCGCGAGTTCGCCCTCTGCCACGAGATCTGGAGGAGTACATCGAGCTTTGTAACGAGCTCGATGCACGAATCCGCGAGCGCCGTCAAGAGCGCCGAAGCACGCCTGCCCGCTACCGGTCTTCCCAGTTCGCCTTTGGTTCCGCCTCCGCTGCCGTTCCCGCCATCGCTCCCGCGCCCGTCCTCGCTCCGCCGCACCCCTCCTACATTGTTTCCGAGCCCATGCAAGTGGACTCTGCCGTCTCTGGACCCCTGACCGCCGAGGAGAAACAACGCCGCCGCCGCTTTGGACTCTGCCTGTACTGTGGCAAGAAGGGCCACTTGGTACGAAACTGCCCCGTCAAGTTTGGATCTACCAGAGCTACCGGACCGCCCCCTGGACCTCCCGGCCCGAGGATCATCCGCACCATCGTTTACGAAGATGGAGAAGTGCAAGACTTCAGTTCGGGAAACGACCAGGCCCGGTTCTAAGTGAAGGCCTTGAACCGGAGCCGTGCCCACCGCCTTCCGAAAGTGAAGACATTGGTAAGGTGCCTTTGGTAAGTACTGGGGAAGCAGTGATGTGCGGACAGCTTCGCCTTGCCTCTGGACCGGCGGACACTCTCAGCTCTGGCATAGTACCCGTGGCACCTCTGGTGTCACTGGGAACTGCACCTCATCCACAGGTGCAAATACCTGAGCTGTCCT